GTTCGAGGAAATCATGCTAATAACTAAAGTAAGGTATTTATACGTCAGCCACTCTATCCCAGGTTAATATTAAATACGGAAACGGTACAAAGCTTTGTCTTCAACTATCGATGCAGAGCTTAATATTCCAAAGGATATTGAGTTCATTGTTTCAGTTTACAAAACAATATACTATAGTCGTGGGTGGTTTTGTAACTGCAGATTTAGTACAAAAATTTCAGCTATCATGCAATATCTGAATTAAGTTGTTTTAAGTCAGGCACACTCATAAGACATGTGATAGCACATCAATATTAACACTGTAGCATCTTATGTTGTTGTAATGCGCTATATTTCAACAAAAGGCTGTCGACAGTACAAACGTGAAAGCAGTTTGGCAATAACTAAAAATGTATTTACATATTAGTAACTATACAATGTACATATTACTTTACATTGCTCCTATCGTTTTCACTAAAATTGACTCTTATCTTATTACTTATCTATCTATCGAATATATGTAGAGCAGCGCGAGAGCCTCCCACACGTAGAGTTCTGGTTACATTAGGCGATTACCCCACTGCGCCGCGGTCCGCCGCGGTCCGCGTGATTTCATATAAAAAATCCCGCGCGCATACGCGTTGTCAGTGTGTTGTACCGCGCATGTTTTCTATACAAACTGAGGTACTTGCATACAATGATTAAATCTGTCGTCCCGCGTACCGCGGCGGAGCGCGGCGCAGTGTGATAATCGCCTTACAGTCTGAACCCAGCTTTTCCCAGAACTTTACGGATTGTCACTTAGTCCAGAGTCGACAGGTGATTTTTTACACGTTAATACCCTTTTCAAAATCTGTACACTCCGTAGGTTGAACTTTTAGAGTTAAAGGTTTTAGAAAAGTCATGTGTCGTACAATGACGTCACCAAAGAAAGATTAATTTACCTGGGTGACTCGGAAAATGTAAGAAAAAAACGGAAAAATTGTTTAAAACTTAATAATGTGAATAGGAGGCATACTTTTAGGACCTATTGCGCTCACATATTTTATTACTCAATAAAAAAAAGAGTGTATAAAACATTGTAATGATATTTAGTCCAAAACATTATTAATTCAAAAAAGTACATAATACACATGTAACTTAAAACGATTGTTCCATACACAGTAGGACCATGTTTTATACTTGCTCACTGAATCGCACTTTTTAACTTTTCACAATCGATTTTTTCGCAGGTAAGTATTTTGGGCCATCTTAATTGAACCCTCAATTAACCAAACCTGCTACAATTCTGCGGTACTATATTTGGTCCAAGTAAATAATAGATCCTCCAAACAATATAATTAGCCTTATTAGTCAATCGGAACCTCTTCGAAGCTTACAGAAGCTCTCGAAGCTTCCGAAAACGAAGTTGGCATCATCATTGATGTCATTAGGACGCTTTCAACAAACAAAATCGAATTTGGCTTTTTGGTTGTTTCCAAAGTCTTGTACAGTCGATCGGAATATACTTTTTTGTAGCAAAATATGTAGCCAACGCCGCAAAGGGGCGAACATCATACAAACTATCAAAAATTTAGTTAAGTATAAAGAAATGCTCCATTCTTCAAGCACTATTGTCGTTTTTTGCTTTCGTGTATAATTTCGTAAAATGAGATTCACCCCTTTGCGTCGCTGGCAACAAATAGCCCCGATTACAACTACCTACATACTTGTAAGATTCGATATTGTTACCTTAATTTGCATGTCTGTACAACGGTGGTAATGGATTCTTTTTGTTGCTGATAAAAAGGTGGTTACTCTAATAGTGCTATTCACAATGCTCTACGTTAAAGTGACCATTTTGGAAAGTGGTCGACACCCCTTCCCAAAATGGTTTACGATTAAATCAATGCAAACAGGAACCATCCTGTTAACTGCACAATAAAGTGTGTTAATTAATTTGATTTTGTCCTAAATCAACGTGCTACAAGTCAATATTTACCTCTGAAATCAATATTGACCTTTGAAGCAAAAGAAAAACATTCTTAAATTAATAACAAACAGTATCAATTTAGATATATTTATCGAAGAATATGAAATCTAAACAATAAGAATCCAATTATGTCACAACATAAGGTGGTAATAAGCAATGTTGGCAGCACAATGGGACGTCGAACAAATACGTCAGCACATAATGAAAGCTGACACAACATTCTTTATAAGTCACTTTTCACCTAAGTTTACCGGAATAGAATAGCCAGGGGCGAACTAAGGGGAAGGACCCACGCTTACGGGATTTAGTCGGGCCTGGGTCTGCAGGGCTACTCCGAAACGCTTTACGTCTATCCGTCACCGTCACTCATGCTAGTATCTCGCTTTGTGTGAGAGGGGTGGAAACATTCGAACTTCGGGTTACGTTTTTGGGAGTAGTTCCGCTGGTTGTGTGTGTACGGAGAAGAACACTTCCTAACGATAGAACTATCGTAATTGCCAATTCTATAATTTTCTTTTATATGTCACTTATTTCGGACACTCAGCATGGTTCAAGCATTATCTTTTCCAAATTGTTATTATGTTATTGGAAATCAAACCCATGAGAGAATCCAACTCTCTATCTACTTGGCGGGTGAAGTATAAAGTACTTGATTGAAATAGGCCACTAGATGAAGTTGCAATTTTTGTACTAACCCCACATAGTAAGTATGGGCTCATACTTAATGAATTGAGCAATGTATTTATAAACCTGTTTTACAACATTCTTGATATACTAATTTCATTGTTTTCCGAAGATACTTAAGGATTGATAAAGCGAAATTATTGAGGCAAAAGTTTGGAAACAACCTGAAGAAATTTTACCTAATGAACGTGTTGTGTTAATTCAACTCTGAAATAGGTACATTTAAACATATTTGAGAGAGTTTTGTATGTGTTTTAAAGTTCAAATTTTTATGACATAGAGTGCTTATTAGTACTAATTTTGTTTCTAAAAAAAACTTAGTTTAGCAAATACGATTCATTACATTTTCGATAGTTGAATTTTGAGTCAAGTGCTGATTTTGCGAAGTGCACACTCTGTATTAGAACCAGTACCTCTAGCATGAACAAGTTCGTCTTTGAATCGTTTGCGTATTCGACAAAATTCGATACTCAACCTTCGAATTAAACGATAAAGTGACAACTTTGATTCTCAAAATAAGTTTCGTGCAACCATTTCTCATACTAAGTTCACTTTACGACACGTTCACAAGGGCGCTGTTGTAGCTTTCGTATTAAATCTTTTGATGGCGATTCGAATACGCAAACGATTCGAACTCGAAAGTTTTTCGTGCTAGCCGTACAGTAATTATACTTAATGATTTATGGAAACAAAAGATTTTTATAGTTGTCTCAATTATTTGATTTCCAAAAACCTGGGAATTTTCCCTTAATCCGTCCCAGGCATTTAACAACCTTTTTCCCACCAAAATGGAGCACACAACCGACTTAAGGATACATGACATAATTGTTCTCAGATACATACAGCGGCTTCATATTAGGGGGAATAAGATACGACATTTCTTTTATGTTGGGAAAAATCTGGTAAACAAGTCTTTTTTCTGTTATGAAAAATCACATCTACGTATCATAAAATATTTAATATTGAGAAAAATGCACATACTATGTGTCATAAAAAATTTACTTACATTTTTGAATATTAAATATTGTGCTACTTTTCTTCTACATTTTTAAAATGTGAAAATTCTTAGAATCTTGTTCTCGTAGATATGGTATTAGAACACGACACGAGCGTAAATTTTACACGAAAAAGATCGTGTATTCTGAAATTGAGAAACTTTGCATTTAGTTTTACAACCATGTTACAGAGCAAAGAAAAAAATGGGACTGTTTTATTACACATTCATGGCTCCAAATTTTTCCGTCTAATTAAGCATAAAATTTGGATTGATCAATTAATTGTCGTAAATTAAACTCATTACTAAGCGAAATTGACTTCTTAGACTTAAAATAGATTTTATAATTAGTTTTTGCTGATTCAGAAATCAGTCTAAAAATAGTTTATTATTTTTTACCGTCACTTTTCCAATATTTCAAGTTACTAAGTAAAGTACAAAATATAATTCTTACTTAACTTACATATTCTACGTTTCAGGCGAAAACCATTTACCTACTTAAAATTAGAACACTGAAAAGCTTTTTATTACAGCAAAGCCACGTTACATGAATAGTGGTGTTAGTATAATATTGTTTTATGTAAAGTGAAGCGTGTATAATGTTGTAGTGTAAGCGAATGTAAAACTGCAGGTTTTGTGTTAATCATTAGACAAAATCAATATTATCTTTTATACAGCCTGCTCTTTACTTTGAGCCAAGATAAAAGGGGCTGAAATGGAAATACGTCTCTGTAACCACATCTTGACAGATGCTTTTCTACTTCAGTCCTTTTTCTATCTCGTAGATCTTTGTCCAATGATTCTGACCAGTATAATCTAAGCCTCAGTTTCCCAGTTATTGGTTGTAAATAAAAAAGCGCCTTATAACGGCTTTAAGCCGCTTTCCAATTTTGACGATACAACACCCCAATCGCCAATAGATTCGGTATTCTATTGTCAGAGAGATTATGTCGATTAATCCATAGATATATTGTAGATACGCCCCATCTTTGTCATTTAATAAAAGATACTATAAATATAACACATTATTAGAAAATGTATTTTACAATTTACAATAGGAGATCAACTTGAAAATAAGTTATTTATCTGTGGTAGGTATTGACTAGCAAACAAAATACCACAACGCTGTTAACAAAAACTTTTCTATCTTATTGTTTCTCATAATTCTAAAAATCTTCCAAGACCTTACTTAATTTACTAAAAGCTTAAATTGTATTAACACAACAATGTTTTTCATCAATCTTTGTGTGGGTTTACAATGTAAATATGAATTTAGAGTCTATGAACCATCTGACGTCATGTTGAAAATTTGTGACAAAAACGGCGTATCTACAATATACGAGTATGTCATGTCCAAACTTGTCCCGTTACCTCTCTGAGGCCCATCGCGTTTCCCATAGCCCCTCGCGATCAAAATTTTGGATTTTGAACTCGGCCTGAATGTGCCTCTGGTCACTCTAATTTCATACTCTGTCCGGATCAAATTTAATTAGATCAGTAAAGCCTTGTTCGAACTAGTCGAGTCATTTAGTCGAGTGCAGAAAATTAGTTGCTAAAGGTGTTTGAACACTAAAAATCTTGTCTAGTAGGTTACTAAATCGTTTAGACGAGCCACTTGCTTATCGGCTAAGCGAGTCCGAACCGGTAGAGTTGACTTCATATTATAAGAACACTAATCATTCGTAAACTGATTGCTTACCATGAGTTTACTCGCTAGCGAGGGCGTCAAAAAATCAATCTGTCATACATTTAATGTCATTTTTTACGCAGTCGTTAGCAAGCACACCTAACGTAAACTCATGCTAAGCACACTGTAACAAAGTGCGAACGGTTTGTACTTAGTTAAGTTAAACGAGTAGTTTATTTACTAAAATCGACTCGACTAAATTACCCGACTAGTGTGAACAAGGCTTAAGAGACTGGATAACAATATACAGGGCGATAAACCTTAAACAGGCGCTTTCAGGTAGGCCTTTTGTTAGAATGTGTTATCTAGATGACGGTTGAATGACGTCTTTGAGAATTTAAGGTTCATACCAACAATGGCCATGCGGAAGATCAGTTCTTGACATGCTCTTATGACGTCATGATTAAAGCTAAGTAAGTAAACTCCTATTTCACACGGATATAGTTAAGTTTGTTTAAATTGTTAAATTCTAACTCAGTCTTATTTGTAGGTATAAATTAAATATTTTCTGTATTTCACTTTTCGAAAAATCCCTAGAAACTAGTCTAGAAGTGTGATTCAAAAGCCTCCTAGTGGATTTTTTCACTCGGAGCTTGAAGCGCAGCTCAAAGTGATGCGAGAAAATAGTTTCCGCGCCCCATAGCCGTGAACGTGTTATAATCGTTTGACACAAGACTTGATGATTCTACTACAACACAAGCTGCTGTCTCAAGTTCTACAAGACTCTTGGCTTCTATTTTAATATTTAATCCGATATCTATTCGCTATAATAGAAGTCACTATAATGTAACCTTAGCCCAAATTTAGGCTTCATTACAGGAGTACAACCCCTTCTAATTTGGCAGAGTTCTGACATTTCCCCCACCTTTACTTGAACAAGGAGACATTCGAAAACCACTTTTTAATCAATTTATGCTCCGCGATACTACAACCCATTTTACCTTTTTAAAAACTTTCCATATCATCTCACACCGTCCTGTATCTGCTACCAAGTCTCTCACAAGCGTATGAAGCATTCAATAAGCCAATGATTCCGTCACAATTTAGTTGAAGCTTCATATTCTTTACCTTCATCATCACCGCTCCTTTTGCCAAAGTCTGGGGCCACCATGAGCGAAGATTTAGGGTTAAACTTCCTTCGAGCTGGCGCCTCGTATTCGTACTCTGTTGGGTCAATGTGTGTGTTATGTTGAGTATGTGTGAGTATGTGTAGTTATGGTAGGAGAAGTATTTTTGAAGCATTCGAATCAAAATTCGTATATTCGGAATTGCTCTCATTAATTAATTTGTTTATTATAATATCTTGGTATTGCAATCAATTTATATTTAATCAATAAAATGATAAAAAATAACCCATTGAATTGACAATTCTGTAAATTATAATTTCAGCATATTCGAATGCTTCTAAATAATTATGTCTCTGGAGTCTTAAAGGTTTCAATTTTAATACTGAAAAGTGTTAATGAATGTTGAAATCCCGTAGGGACAAATTTTAGTGTTATGAGCACGCACATACGAGTAGATTCATAATTTATTGAGTTATTATATGTGTAATGTATGAATAATGATATTGTTAGTTGTAACGATTAAATACATCGTTATAAAAATCGTATAGACGGTGAATAAACTTTGAATAATTCATAGGTAGGACCTACATGTCACAATTTAGAAGTCATTGTTTATGTGGAATTACATTCTATTAACGCACAACAACATTTTAATACACCAGTCTAATCGGTGCTTACCTATAACTTAAACCTTAACATAGTTAACAGCTCTTACAAACATTAAGTATTCAAGTCTAGTAGGTAGTTGACATACATTACGAGTATTACATATTGAAGAGACACGTTTTAGTACCGTCAAAGCGAAGATATTGGCAAGCCCCACTTAAATGGCACGCAGGCATAAACTTTTGTACCATATTTTTGTACTTAGACAGGCATTTTAACATGGATAGAACTCTTGTTCAACTTCCAATTGAAGATGTGGTCCCATGTAGAGAAAATACAAAAACGTGACTTGGATTTCCATTTGATGAAGTTTGGGAGCTTCTTTCCATCTTATTTGCCAATAAGTGAAACGTTTTGGTATGAATTCAAAACAGAAGGATCAAGGAAAATAAACTCATTAAAAATTTTGTTTTTCCTCTTTTTGCTGCCCATCGTTTGTGAAATTGTGACTCTTAACAATGCTGTTATAAAAGAAATACAATCAAATTATATCCAGTTATTTAGTCGTATCTTTTTTATAGGTTACTTAAAGATTCTTCTTCAAATTGTTAATCATATAATTTTATTTTAGTAACCACAGATTTTCCTACGTAATAAGTTCTAGAATGATGACTGGTTTTGTGGGATATAGTTTGGCTACGTCACTTACTAGCAACGTCATGCTCATGTGGCCTGTATGTGACATCGGTCGAAATCTGTCCATGAAGTGGACAGTCCAACTTACGTATACATAAAAATATGAGCGACAATTTTGCCCATATTACCACGGTAATATTGATACTTATAGGCATCATCATCATCATCATCATTGACCAACAAGTACCTAACTTACATTTATAATAGAGTAAAAGTAAATGTTTCGTATTCATACTAAAAGTTTCAAAATTCACAACAACAAAATACACCGAATATCCTCAACACATAAAGCCTTAGGTTTGACCAATCCCTTTGGATTTCCTCGTCATTTCCGAGCTGAAGTAGCCATGAGTCCTGACTCATTATCCAAACGACTTAAGTTCATTTCCGAAGCCTTTCTCAGTCTCAAGTAAGCACACAAGACTGCATATGGGTTTTCCACAGTCTGATTTCGCTTGCATCATTTGCAACTGTACTAAATTCTTTTGTTTTTGTACCTTCAGGGTCTTCGGAGGTTCGTTTCCCGAAATCCCGGGCGATCCCAACGTTGGGACTTTTAAATGTGGGCGTACCTCGATGCGTGCGTTCGGATGCCGGTATTTGCTGATTTACGTCCCCTTTGGAGGTAAGGCGATAGTTAAATTACTAAATTGATTTTTGTTTCATCAATCATAGGCCACATCTAATCCACTGACAACTGATTTGGCGAAATTAAGTACCTAATCCACTCAATTTCGTGTCATATTGCACTAATCTGTGAGTGGGTTTCATGCAAATTCGATTATTTTGGCTCGTTTAAGCTGAATTGTAATCCACGTCATTACCTAAACAATTATGAGGATACGAAATCACTGATCTCACAGGAATTCCAAGTATTTAATTGTCATTATTCTCGCTATTATTATTAAGTATTTACCTAATTAATTTCAAAAGTTTACGCAATATAACACGCGTAAAAGAAATTAACGAAAACAACATTAAGAAGTATATAAAATGTGTAATTAAATAGGTTAGACAACTGGAATTAATAAAGACTCAGATATGAGATTAAATCGGAGTTTAGAGAGAAAGACAAAACTATTCCAAATAACACACGGAACTACCTATGTGTAATATTGCAGCTATCAGATTCAGATAAAACGATTTTTTCCACACTAAAAGGCAGGTGAACACGATACTCCCACAAACGGTGCGCATTCCGTTAACTTTATTGGATTTTACTACAAAATTTGGTGGTTGACAGTTTTAGATGCTTTTATTGTGAAATATTCTAACGCATAAATTGCCGATGAATATTTTTATCACTAGCATTTGATCTTGTGCACCATTGTTATTTAGATAATCAGTTTGTACGAGCAGATGCAAATTACAAATATGATGTCATTTTATCTAAGAGTAGAAGTGTAAATAGAAAATAATTTCTAAAATGAATAAAGTGTGCCACTTTCTTAAAGTAAGCGTACTGCAAGGGTCAGTTCTCAGCCCTGTTTTTTATTTAAATTAAATTTACTGCTTAATGAGACTGGCGCATTTAATTAATTTAGTTATTTCACTTCCACTATGAGAAGTAGAACGACTGGACGTCGGAAACTAGTCTTTACATTATTAGATCTAACTTCACCTAACGAGCCAAGTAAATTCAAATTTGCATGAAACGTACACACAGTTTCACAATTAACATAAATAAATGACATCATGTAACTTTTTCGGATTAGGACTAAACTTGTCCCAAGTTTGTCCCTTTGAAATTCAACATGAAAGAAATTGCAAAGATGAAAAAATTCATAACAAATTATTCGCCCCATTAGCGTAGTCCCACGGGCTTCGGCGGGAAGATCGATGTTCCTTTAAACACTTTGCACTTTGTCTGGGGGTGACATTTTACACTTTTAACTTATCTGAGGAGAAAGCTTGAATTACTTTACCTTAACTCTGCGAAAACTCTTTAGTTGCATAATGACGAAAGGTTTAGTTTCTTATTCATCCTAGACGATGTAGTAACCACAAAAACAAACAAAATTATGAAAGTTCCTTTAACCTCGATTACAGCTGTTATTCTTAAGCCTGTATAATTCCATAAGCCTTTGCCTCACTGATTGCGTGATTGAAACGCAACTAGACCGCGACATGATAATCATGTAGTAGCGTGACTTGACGGGAGATTCGCACATGATTCTAAAATTGAATGGAAATGCCTTAATCAAGGCGCGCTGCACTCACATCGGCAGTGATCCAAAGGTTTATGAGAAAAAAACATGACGTAGAGTAACCACAGATTGCGTCGCTTTGCGGTCATATGCCTGACGTCACGCTGTCCTCATGACTATTTGTTTATAGGCTAAGGGTTCCCCCAGACTAGTCTTGACTCTGAAACATCGCCGCGTCGACACTGCGAAGGCACTGGCGAAGGACCCTCGAAATACTAGTGTGGGAAAGTCCCTTACTAAAAACGCTTTCACAGTAGATCTGTATCTGCTTGAAATAAATAACTTATTATTCGATGTAAATGAAAATATTCATAAGTATCATATACTCACGTTCAGCCCTAGTAGTGGGTCGGTCGCGCTTCCCGAACCCCCTGGCGGTCATCATCTCTACGTTCTTGAAACCGCGGGTAGGTCGCTGCTGCTTGGCCCGTGCTACCCGCACGTCGGGCGCGGCGTCAGCGAGACACAGCCACACCGCGGCTACGACTGCGAGATGCACTGAGATGTTCATGGCTGGAACAAGGTTAAAAATTAAAGGTTAGAGGATTGGTTCCCAAAGTGGGGGGCGCGCCCCCTAGGGAAGGCGCAAAAACCATCTGTGTACTTAAGTATAAAAAGACCTGCGACCGCTGAGAGAATGCATTCCAGACTGCTCGATACGACCAATAAATAATCTTGACTGGAGGAGGGGGGGCCGCGGAATTTTTTGCATGGTCGAAAGGGGTCCCCTTTTCAACCCCCTAAGGGATGAATTTTAGAAAATCCTGACTTTTAATAAAAATTTCCAAAATGTTAATATTGAACCCCAAGAATGGAACCTATAGGTATGTAAAGGGAAAAAGATATTAATTATAGAGCATTTTTCTATTTAGTTAGTACTACTAGACTAGCGTTAAACTTTGGTCCCCTTTTCACCCCCCTAAGGGATGAATTTTAGAAAGTCCTTTTTGAGCAGATGCCTACGTAATAAATAACTATCTGCTAGCCAAATTCCTGACTTTTAAGAAATTCCCAAAGTGGTAATCATATTAAAACCCAAGATTGGGATTTACCGTTTAAAGAGGGATTCCTTTTTTGGAATAAATAATGTACCTACCTACGCTTTTACTCCTTGACCTTGATATTCAAACAATCACTAAGGCAAAAGTATACAAAAACAAGCTTGGCTGTAACATAATAAGTAATTAACATTTGAAAACCGAATTAAGCCAAAGTGTTTGTTGTTTAAAAATAGTCCAAAGTAACTAGGTTTTAATCAAACGTTATAACATCTAACAGGTTTCTTTTATTTATATCTTTTGATTTTCATTTGTATTCCTGAAATCTAAAAGGAACAAACAAATTAAGACAACCAGTATCAAATAACATAACGTGATTGGCGAGTAAATTATGTAAGTGTCTATGTCTATTTATTTTCTAGAATAAATAAATTGGAGTTGTCAAATCACATCTCATTATTTTTCTCTTTGTCGCCAATTATCTAACCTCTTTTAATTATCAAAATGTAATGATTCAGGGTTACCTCGTACATTAAGTAGGTATATTAAGTTCTTAGAACGAGAATATACAAGTAGTAAATAAGTTAATTAATGGCCTTTGCCTTTGGCCTTAAGTAAATTATAGGTATCTAATAAGTAAAGGTTGCTGCCTTGATTCCGAAAATCTTACATTCATGTAAATAAATTATATTCTCATGCATTATATTCCTGAAAAATACAACCGAAAAATTGAATTAGTATATCCCTCTCTTAAAAATACTAGATACAAATTGTCATAACCTTAATTTTCATCCGCTTTAAGTTTTATTTTGCAACTAGCGGCCGCCCGCGACTTCGTACGCGTGGATCCCGTTTTACCCCCTTAGGGGTGGAGTTTCGTAAAATCCGGATTAGCGGATGCCTACGTCATAACATCTACCTACATGCCAAATTTCAGCCCGATCCGTCCAGTGGTTTGGGCTGTGCGTTGATAGATCACTAAGTCAGTCAGTCAGTCAGCTTATGTCCTTTTTCTAAACTCTTCCTAATCTATCCGTTTCGTACGTTTAAATTCGAGCCTAAAGACATTATATCTTTTCGTTTTTAACCGACATCAAAAAAGGAGGAGGTTATCATAATACTACTTTCTATAATAACGCAGTCTTCATTACCAACTTTGGTCCCAACATAAACAGACTCGTAAAGTCCACTCGTCAACCCGCTTGTTAGTTTGCTCGTCCACATTATCTTCCAAGTGGCCATAAACGGCTAGTCCGACATTATGCTGCACTCTCTTTGAGGCAAAAGGTGCAACATTTTAAATTAAAGAGGTGACACGCCATTAGCGACATTAGTTAGAGCAGTGTTTTTCAACCTGTGGGTCGCGACCCCCTGGGGAGGTGCAAAGACCTTTGAAGGGGGGCGCGGGCCATCTGTGTACTTAAGTATAAAACACCTGCGACTGCTGAGAGAATGCATTCCAGACTGCTCGATACGACCAATAAATAATCTTGAGTGAAGGAGGGGGGCGCGGAATTGTTTGTATGGTCGAAAGGGGGCGCCTCTCAAATAAGTTTGGGATCCAATGAGTCAAATGAGCGGATTACGCTAGCGTAACAACTAAGTAGTAAATGTATTGTTTATGCTTTAGATTTCTTTGGTTACTTTGAGAATATAAGTAACTCTACATAGAAGAGTAGACTCATTTATTATCTTAATTCTACAGTTTATTTTTTATCATGGACGTCGATGCACACAGCAGACCTAGCTAGGAACAATTATTATAAACAATAAAACATTTTTGGGTAAACATTGAAATAAAACTTTCCAATTCATGATAAAAGTACGTCTGTGTCTTTGTCAATGTTACTTGCATAGTTCCCAATATAATATTTCATTTCAGAGAAATTTAAGAATTCTTTGAACTATGTAAGTTCTTCGTATTCTTTATAAACTGTGCCTTTTTGGCTCAGACATTATGAAAAATTTTGAAAAGTATTTCATAAGTGATTGTTCAATGTTACTTTTCGTGTGTAATTGAGAAAAGTTACATCTGAAGAAATGTTTCATACGAAAGTTTCACTTCTTATTTTATAAGTTTTCTTTATTGGGTTATTATTTTTCTCAAACAAAACACTTAGTCTGTTATTTAACCGAAAAGCTGTAAGACAAGGAAACACTATAGAGGAAATTTTTAACAATCGTAGTATCTAAATATGTCACTCTATGTCACACCTACTTTTAACGATCTCGGGCCAATTTACTCCATATTTCGTTCATATATTGGTGAATTGAGGTGAGTTTTAAAATATTGATCTTATTTTCAATAGCCTATTTAGCCCTTGCACTTGTGTGATAGATAATTTAATACTTTGTTTTCTCAATAAAATAGTTCTCAAGTAACTTAAAGCTATCAAACTGTCATTATTGTAACGTTAAAAAGCAGGAAAAGGTATATTTTTTCCAATTTACAAATAGCTTTTTATCGTTTCCCATCCCATTATTTGAGGGATAACACCACTTTATTGACATTATCAATAATTTAATAGGTCAAATCTATTACATGACTATGGGGTTTTAACACTCGGTAACAAATAAATCTAATAGCTTATTTTACTACAGTAACCATCCCATTCCACCACTGCTAAGTTACCATAATTAATTGATATTTTTTTGTTGCTTGCTGTATTTTCTCATTATTTTCATTAAAATATGAAAACTGAAGAAAATTGGAAACACTTTATTCTTTACTAAGAATACACGTGGTCAGTAATTGAATTGTTAACACCAAAAACCAATAATTCCCAGACAAAACAACTTATAGAAAAATTAATTAATGGAAACTTAATTAATTTGCAATTAATTGGAAGATTTTAGTTGTTCTGAAGTCAATTACGCAAATAAGTAACACAAGTTTTCCATTGCTACACAAAACGAAGAAATAATATTTCAATTGATTAACCACATTATCTTTTAAATTTTGATTGATTATGTAGCTGTAACTCAGTTACGTTACACACGACTTTTCATGGTTATTTATTTATTACATATTTTCCGTAACACGGTCACGGTATTAATTAATACCAAAATTACTCGTAATACATTTTGAGGTCATAGCAGACTTATCAACCCGGAAAGATATCAACACCGTGTAGCCTTTCGCGCGCTGCCATTGCCTTTCGCACGCTGTCAACCGCGGGGCGAGGCGTTTACGTCAGTGCTGATAAATGTGCGTTGCAGTACGGAGTTTCGTACAAAGAATATTGACCACCACCTCGAGTTGATACGGTTACGATCTGTTTCCAAGTTGATAAGTGTACTTTGTCCTTTATGTCTCTCAAGCCTCTAATAATTTGTTTTTAGAAACATGTAGAGTCACGCCTCCACATTGAAGTCGAACGACCAATTAAAGCAATTATTTTATTATCAATACAAAAGCTATTACAACCAGGCCATACGCTTTTAGAAGATAATAAAAATAACTTTAATATGATTTAGGACTTTATTAGGTATAGGCATATTTTTATACTATTTTCAGTATACACCCCAAAATGTTCATAATAGTTAGTCTTCTTTATAATCAGCAAATAAGTTTAAAAACAATCTATGGTGAAGCTGTTTTACGTGTTATGTTTAAAACATTTTTAATTATTTTTTTATCTAGGGGACTAGACAACTTACAACAATTATTAGACAAGTGTTTATTTATTGAATGATAAATAAGTGTAGGTATTCTGTGTTTTCCTTATAAGTGAATATAATTTTCTTTTAGAAAAATTAAATATCTAAAACCATAAATATTCACCAACAACATATAATTTTACATTCATTGTTACATTATGTGTTAGCAAAAGATGAGACCGGTCATTCTCACGATTAGGCGTTCTCAGCCTAATTACCATATTATTTTTGAAATTTGGCTTAATTGACTTAAACGCATTTAAATATAAAACACATGAAAAGTACGAATTTAACAATCGTAAAGGCGTCAAATTATTCAAAGCGGTTTTCGCGTAAATGAGACCCAAAAATTTTATGGTCACGGTAATTAGATAAGGCTAATACTTAATCTAACGGTAATTAGAAAAGATATGTAAAATAGCAAAAAAACAACATCTTGCATTGATTTTGTACACAAATATACAGGGNTTTTTTATCGTTTCCCATCCAATTATTTGAGGGGTAACACCACTTTATTGACATTATGAATAATTTAATAGGTCAAATCTATTACATGGCTATGGGGTTTTAACACTCGTAACAAATAAATCTAATAGCTTATTTTACTACAGTAACCATCCCATTCCACCACTGCTAAGTTAGGTACCATAATTAATTGATATTTTTTTGTTGCTTGGTGTATTTTCTCATTATTTTCATTAAAATAAGAAAACTGAAGAAAATTGGAAACACTTTATTACACGTGGTCAGTAATTGAATTGTTAACACCAAAAACCAATAATTCCCAGACAAAACAACTTATAGAAAAATGTATAAATTACTGGAAACCCAATTAATTTGCAATTAATTGGAAGA